AACATTGCAACAGTTTTGTCCCTCACTGTATATTTAAGAGCGCGATGTTAGGTGTCAACCAATATTGATCGATCAGCTAATAAATTTGTTTTCTCTTGGTTCAAGATACCTAATTGCGTCATTGTCTGATTGAAGAAATATTTTATTTCCACGGGAATGACGAGATTCCCTTTAAAACAATTGAGTTTATGGTTTAGTTCCGGGAATCGCCTTTTTTTCACAACATGATGCTAGATGCAAAAAATGCCCAACTCTCGTCGCATGAATCCTTTCCCTCTATTTCAAGAGAACTTTCATCGATGAGGAATTCGGGGAACTGGTCGATGCGCTTTCTATGGTTTTGTTTGCATACTCATTATGCCGAATTATATTGCTTGTGCAAGCAAATTCAGACCCGATCGACGTGATTACCGAGAAGCGATCCCACGTGAGACTGATTCTGAGTGGCAGGTCATTAGTGTGCACAAGGAAGACGCATTTCCATGCATCTTTTAAACATGAGGGGATAGATGCACTTTACTACGGTGCATCCCAAGACGGGGAAAAGCCCTCCTTTTCCCTCTGTCCCAAAAGGCAATCTGATTTTCTCTGAGGGCACTGGTGAGGTGTCCTCGACAGAAGTCCGCGGAAGGGAATGGAAAGCGGGGGGGGGACCCGCGACCTCCTTCTTTCAATGGGGGGGAAGGAGGAAGAAAGAAATCAAGGCCAGGAGTGATCTCTTTCCGCGCATTTCCACACCAAATAAGGCATTGACGAATGGGTTTCCTTCCTCTCATACAATGGACGTCCGGCATGGAGTTCTTTTCTGTGGGGGTCGAGAAGGGGTTATGCGGGCTGGAACATTGCCCATGTAACGAAATTCAGGCCATGTGGCATGAAATGGGCGTCCATTATTTGGCCTGGTGATGTCCAGGTGATGTCAAACAGACTTGTCCATTAGGCAAATGACGTGCAAATGATTTTCGCATTTTCGAAAGAAAATTCTCCTCGGTTTTGCAAGACCAGAACGACCGCACGGGTATAAAAATTACTCTTGTCCATCAGATGTATCCGTGAATGTATTGAAACTGGACCATGTTCTTGGAAAAGTTTGCAGAAGTCGTTCGTAACTGAAAATTTCTTGGTTAAATATTTGAAAGAACACTAATGATGAGACTCACAAAATGACTACTGTGATGGAAAAAATCGGATGAAGCAATTGAACGCGCGCAGACGTCCCTTCTGATACCATGTTCTTGATGGACAGATCGGAATTTTTATCGTAATACACCTAGGACGGTCCCCGGGGTTCCACGGTGAGCGTGTTGAAATTGACGCCGACAGCAAGGGACGACGGGAAGATGCTGGCATGCGAAGCGAGAAACCCCAAACTGAACTCCTCCTCGTATCTCCTCGCTTCAAAGCAGCTTCGAGTCAGATGTGAGTCCTTTCTACTCGCCCGACCGGGATTGTTTCATGTATATTCCATGAATGCATGCATGAATTATTTATTAGTTCATATTCCTTATTATGTACAGTGCAGTTCGTAATATACTTAAGTCATCCGAATGTGTATGATGAATGCACCCACCATTGTATTATTTAATTACTCCGTGACGTTCAATCTGCATATGCGTCTTCTTCGACCAGACCGGCCCGTGGCGACGGCCTATCTGGACGACAGCAGAGAAGATTCGGTGGTAGAGGGAGGGAATCTGATCATCCACTGCGGAGTGAAGTCCTTCCCCACGGCTTACAAGGTCTCCTGGCTCCACAAGGTCGGTCTCGTTCGTCGCTTTAATTGGTGTCTTGGGAGGCGTCTTGAGACGTCTGGCGGTTCATCTATTATTAGTGGGGTGGTGTTTTTCCTTCGAGCTGCCCGATTAAAGGGAAGGGCTCGGCTTTGAAACCTGCTTGGATCGGGGAGAAAAGGGGAAAGAATTGAAAAAAAAAAAAAAAAAAAAATTTTTTTTTTTTAAAAAAAAAAAAAAAAAAAAAAAAAAAAAAAATTTTTTTTTTTTTGCCCTTCGTCTCAAAGAGGTTTCTTTTCTTCCTTTTATTCTCGCGAGACCCCCTCTTTCTAGTCTGTGGATTTCTGGAGGTGGAATAAAAAACTAGAGGGAAATCGGAGGGGCACTCAAGGGGATTTCATGGGTATCGAAGAATAGGTACGGACTCCTCGGTCTCTCCACGTTCGTCGCACTGCTGCTGTCTGCCCATCTCGACTCGGAAGACAAAAGGCTCTAGACGGAAACAAAAGGAGAAAGAAATTTTTTCCTACTCTTTCCTTTATTGATTCCAATCGGGAAATCTGTCGCGGTTCTCAGTTGAGTCAACACGGAAGGCACCATGGAACGGTGTTTTCTCAGCTGTTAGGATCTCCACTTGTCTTTCCTCTCGCTTCTTATAACGTCGACGAGAGGCAAAAACGGTGAAGCGGCCAGAAAATGGTATCGATCGTCGTCGATAGGTGAGAAAGGGCGATGGCTCCTTGTGCTTCCGTGACGAGGCGCAATATGAGGGGAAGATGGTTATCGGCTTTTCTTCTTCACGTGTCTCGCTGGAGAATATTTCAGGGAATCTTCCGGATATTTTATGAGCACGAGGGACAGGGAGGGGGGGGGGGGGGATTCGTGACTGGGATTCTCGGTAGTCTTCGGCATTGGATATTAACCACTGGAATCCTGAATTTTTCAGGACTGGGATTTATTCCAATCTGGGCTATGAGCCGAGTCTAGCGGAGGAATTTTCCCTCTCGATGGTTGAAAAAGATTTTTCAATGCCTTTGATCGGTATTGAATTCGCTTTTCATTTGCAAGTTTCTTCCTGCATATTTAGGCTTTTGCATCCGCAGGCGACGAGATTGATTTTTTTTTCACTGAAAATGGTGAAAAACAGATGGAACCGAAGGACCCAAGCCCATTTTCCCACCAAGTGGCTTTCATTTTCCCGCTTCCTACCATATTTCCTCTTGCCTTTCGATTCCGAGACAGAACGAAGCAGAATCGTTTGGTTCTTCCCAGCGACTCGTCCACGCCAGGACGTTTCAGCATTTAAAACGATTTTTTTTTTCAAAAAAACTTTCAAGGAGTTCCACTCGAAGAGTTTCTTTGCAAGTCGCAAATAGAAGTTGCGGAGAAAAGTTTCCGATGCGGACGAGGTCGAGTCCCCGAAAAATGCGAACGCACCTTCCTTTTTATAGCTGAATAAATAAACAAAATGTTTGCAGCAAAAAAAAAAAGAATTGAATAACGTATGTCAGAAGCAGTCGGGCAACATTGGGGCCTCTCCAGGAAACTATTCTCTCTTTTTTTTTTTTTCCTTCTGGTATTTCACGTTCCACCTTCCCCCTTATTTCTCCACCCGATACCAAGACAATGTGTTTTCGCTTTATTCCGGGGCATATTTAATGTGACGCTAGGGCTCTTGGCAGCGATCCATCCAGGAATTCCAGGATGTGCCCGGAATTTTTTTTTCCCCCAGGAAGGCCTTTTCTCCGCGAATTGGGAACGACACGGGAAAGAGAAAGGGAAAAGGGAAAAGAGGAGGGATCTCATCCGTCCCGTATTTATGCATGCCAGGTTCCAGATTCCCCCCGACAGAGGAATCAAGCCCCAAGCAGGCAGACAGCACGTAATTGACGTCTCCCGGGATTATTCTCTTTCTCTCGTCGTCTGTCTCGTTTTCACGAAGGGGGAAATGGAGCGTGCAAGAGCTTTTCGTTCGCCCGGTCGACGAAAAAGAAAAAAGAGAGTTCAATCACGTCGGAGGAGAGTTACTTATATGCAGAGTGGATGAGGAAGTTATCCGTCGCGGGTCGCTTTCCTCCGCGATTCGTCGGGTTACTTGGTCGATGCAAAGCTGTAATAATTGGTGGCTGTAAAAAAAAAACCGCTCTGTCGTTCCTTGTGGGAGAAAAATGGCTTCGTAAAAAATACGTGCTGTCGGTCCTTATGGGAGAAAGATGGCTTCATGAATGCGAGCAACGACGATAAGTTGGGCAATCGACATTAGAAGGCAATGAGGTGGCGGAATGAGCGTGGGTACCCTTTTCTGAGCCATGAAATGCCCCCCCCCCCCCCCGTTTCGCGATTCACAGGTCATTTCTCCCCGAGTGGGGCCCATGGTCTCTGCTCCATTGCAATAGGATTCAATTGAAGTTTGCATGCGGTTGGATTGCGATGAGGAAGGTTGCTGCCAAGATCATGGACTTCGACGGCAAACTGGGACCGAGATACGGGGTTTGAAATTTGCCAATATCCGAAATGTCACGAGCGACACCTGTGCCAAATTCGGAGTGGATTGGGGAACGATTCCCCGAGAAATTCCCGATTCCAAGTGGTCTTGAGGTGTCATGATTTCCACGTAATTTTTCAACTTCCAAATTGGAAAGTTGGTCATTAATTACAAACTAGTGGCTATTCCAACAGAGTGAATGACACAAAAAAAGTTGAAATGCTGAAAGCTTGGATCCATTTTTTTTGTCATTGTGACAAATTTAAATGTATCCTATCTCGGCCCTTGTTTGCCTTCGAGGTCCACGAATCAGGCTGTGAACTATTCTCACGATGATCGTGCAGGCCAAATTTGATTGAATTCTGATCTGATCGAGCGCAGACAGTTACCACACGTTCGCCGGAACGATCCATCTGTAAGTTGTGTAAACGGTGGGGGCCGCACGATATATCGGTATTTAAAAAAAAATCTCGATATGGAGCTGTGGCGATATCGATGTCGTCCTGATTCAGGCAAATCGGTTTTATCGTCGACGATATTATCGTAGACGATGTCTACATGAATATTATCGTGCCATCGCTGTCTCCTTCGGATGGGGAATATTCCTCTAGAGGCAGCGATTTATTATCGTTTAGGGAAATCCCCTTTATTATTCCCTTTCTCTCCCGTTCTGACGGCGTGAAAGTTCGCACGTGGGAGGAGCATTAATTATCGAGTTAGGTCGTATCCCGATGAGATCGTGTAAGGTGACACCTCTCTCGTTTTTCAGCCTATTTCGTCAAATAAAGAGGGAAGCAAAGGGAAGCCACGATTTCGAAGAAAACAGAAAAATCGCGATGCTCCGCTCGGCTCTCTCCGGTAGATGATAAAATGAACGTATCGCGAAACTGCAGGGAGCCGATATGATATTGTCCCACGACAAATATCGTGCAGCCCAAGTCATCAAGGGTCCTGACATTTTTTGTTGCATACCCGAAGCTATCTTTCTCCCGTAGAAAAAAAAAGGACAAGGTCTTTTTTTTTTATCCCCGTATGCATCGAGTAGAAAGGAAGTGCCGTCTCCGTAGGGGCTTGGCGTGAAGAGCGGCGTGGCGATGGGCGTGAGCGCGATGAACCAGAGCCTCTTCCTGCGGGGTGTCCGGCGGTCTGCTGCTGGGGAATACGCCTGCAAGGTCCACAACGAAGTCGGGGAGTCCTTCAGCAACGTCGTCAAGGTCAACGTGAAGCGTGAGTGTCCTTTCCTTCGTCCTGTCCCTTTGGGGATCGCGATGCCGTTCTGGGAGTCGAATCGTGCAGAAGATCGGGTGTTTTTTAATTGCGAAAAGCATCCATTGCACACCGTGGCGCAACTTCCTCGAGATTTGGCAAAAGCCAGAAAAAAAATTAATGAAAATAGCGTACGGTTGAGTTACTTCCTTTCGATGAAGAGTGCACCTGAACAAGATTGCAGAAAAACCTACAGGGTTAATTTTTATTCATGGGACCATTGCACAAATTTATCATCTTTGATATATTAGAGATAGATGCCTGAAATTTGAGATCGTGGCCTGCCAACATAGGGAACGTTGCGTTAGACTTCCTAGAGGAGTTTTTTTTTTTAATAGGTAAAAAAATACTGACGTAAAGTTCCTCCGGTTTCCTTCTCATCTCGAATTGGTTCCAAATTAAGTTAGTGCGTCTCCAGGATGTTGTGGTGCTTCTGGAGGGACGTTTGCTTTACGGCCGGACCTCCTAATTGGATTGGAGTGAATGTATTGAAGGAAAATACTCTTAGATGCGCTGGTACGCAGCGGAGGGGAAGGAATTCGCGACTCGTTCCTCTAATGGGTTTTAGTCATCAGTCATCATACTCCCATTTTTCTCTTGCCGCTTTTTCTTGGTCGGTGAGATCAGCCCTCGTGATATGGAGTTTCGTTGATTCGTCTCTAGGAATCTCCTAAGAGGAAAAGGTTTATCTAGGAGGTGTCCATCCGGCCGAGGGCGACGGCTGATTAGGTCCCATAGAAAGGACTGTTTCCATTCAGGGGGGGAAAAAAAGAAGCCTTACTTCTTGGTGCAGGGCGGCGGGGGGGAGGGGGGGGGTGTGTGGATTGAAAAAATTGTTCCCATAGGTCTTGGGGGCCCAGGAGGGCAATTACGACCCCTTTCCCACTGATTCTTCATTCCTCCGCCCCGCTGTCCTCTTTTTTTGCTTTTGTCATTCCTCCCGTCTTTCTCTTCTTGATGCTTTTCATCCCAGCCGGTGTCTGGAGAATAGTCTTTTGCTCTCTTTCTTACTGTCAACCGTCTTGGAACCGTGCCAGGAAAAGCTGCTTTTACGTCCGTACTTCATCCCGTGCCCGAAGGGAGAGAGACGCGTGCACGTGGTCGGTAAAAGGTCGATGGAATAAATGGGATTCCTGGATCCAAGTGAATGGGCCGCAATCCCGAGGATCTCATCTCGGGAATTAAGGCTTTATTTGATCTAGCCACTTCGGGGAAAGGGCAGTTTCGGCCCTTATCATCCGAGTCGAGAAAAGTGAGGGAAGGGAAGGGAAATGGGGAAGGGGGAGGGAAATCGTTTATGATTCCAAGCAAGAGTCTAGTTAGCGGGATCTCCTCGACGAACAACGGGCTGTGCATTTACAATCTTCTCGACTTCCGAGAGGCTTCTTTCATGGGTTTTCTCATAAGGCAAAGAGGGGGGAAAAAAGAGGAGGAGACTCATGTTTCATTCAAGGAAGGCTTCGTCTCTCCGCTTCATCTCTCATGCATCCCTTCGATTACGTCCGAACTTTTCCGCCTATGCGTAAATCGATTTCCTCGCCCGCTCCTCTTGCACTTACCCTTTTGCACACGGACACATGTTTTTATCACATTGCGATTTTTTATTATTACCTGATTCACCATCGGGCTTCTTCCTTGACATTTCCTTTTTTTTTATAAAAGAAGTCGCGAGCACTTGGTTTTGCTGCCTAGAAGCAAAATAAAAAAAGGCATTTCTTTTGAAACTTTGAAGACTCAAAGAAAGGAACACAAAAGCTCTCCGTCCCAGATGCTTTAGAGATGGCGAAAGACAAGACAAAAGCTTCACCGCCGGATGATTGGGTTTTGAACTATTAATGAAAAAATCTCGTGCGGGCAAGTGTCATATTGCGAGTCGAAGGTTCTCGTCGGGGATTCAAAAGCCTTGGCAATGGACATCGAGGAAATGGGTCGATGATTGGAGGGATTGGTTAGGACCCCAGCTTTGAGGACTGGAATGGGTTATCAGCTTATCAGACTGATGGGAAACAGCCCGATCGGGAAAAAGGGAATGCAACCGTGACGGGGCCCCACGAAGTTCGGGTGCACGAATCTCCGAGAGGGAGGGGAATAGGATTTAAACGTTTCTTTCCATTCGTTGAGAATAGGAAGAAAGGTCTGGCATCCCTCGCACTTGGTTGCTTGCGTATGCAGTATGGAAATGTCAAATTTACATGTATGAAGGCATTCACGGAGAAGAAGTTTCTGGAGAAGCAGAAAGTTCATCCGGTGAGCGACCTGATAGCTGATGACAGGAGGGGAAGGAGGGCTTTCCCTCTCTCGCATTCCTCCTCAGATTGGAGTCAGCATTGAGCCGATCGTGAACGAAACCGAAGTGGTGATCTAGATGATCTCGTCACATACCATGTGTTCGACCGAGTCCAGCTTCTCTCCGCGTCGCGATCGTATGCACGATACCGTTATTTCCTTGTCGTCTTTACTTCCATGTCGTTTTTAGCCGGTCTAGGCAACTACTGCCAAGGTTCAAGGTTAAGGGATGGTGAAAGGAAGGTCAAGGGTAACCGTCTCATCGGGTTATCCTCCTTGCTTAAAACGAAGATGACGTCATGTAGATGCGGAAAACAAAATAATGTTGCCAAGGTCTGATCAAAGCGGTGATTCCTTCTGGTTTTGGGCTGGGAATCCGATCAGTACGAAGAATTGAAAAGAGAATTGAACTTGCAATGGGATTTCCTCGCCAACTGACGAACACAGTTGAGGCTTCCATCTGTCCACCTTTCCCATCTCGTTTCGAGTTCTACTTTCTTTTGGCCCTCAGAGTGATTCGCTTAGGATCGATTCGTTTACGCCCGGTCCGATGTTTGCGTCGCAAAATGACCGAGAAGCCGTTATTATCCGGTACCACGAGAAGCTTTCGTTTGGCTACGTATTAATTCGTGTTAGTAGGTGCAGAGCTTGGTAAGCGAGCTCTCATCCCTCGAGTCCAGACATGCAAGGATAGAAAGGAAGGAACCCATTGGAGATGCTCCCCGACGCGACAACTCCCTGACTGGTTTCATGCTGTCCTTTTGCAAGGTGATACGTGTTCCTTGTGAGGCAGGTAACCCTTTACGGCCGAAGACGCCACGCAAGGGCAAGGAAAGGAGGAACATATAGAAAGCATAGGCTTCGTGTCTCCATTTCACATCCTTCGATGGAGCCAGACTCATGTGCTTGGGTTCAGCGCCGTACCTAGGATATTTGGCAACCCGTGCGAGGTATCAACCCTGCGCCCACCATCTTCATACCTCTCCAGCTTCCCCAGCACCAACAATACATTAGGTATTAATTTCTATGTTTAATTTAGTTAAATCCAGGATAATTACAGTTTTTTTTATTATTTATTCATCTTTTGTAGTGATTTGGCAGCCATTCGGCGCCCCTCAGTTCGGTGCTTGTGCGGGGGCACCGCTCGCCCACCCCTTGTTACGGTACTGCTTGGGTTTCTCGTAGCCTCGCAGAAAGCCCACTGTACGAGGCAAATGCAGTCTGAAATAAATTTGTCTGGACAACACATTTCAGGAACAGACGCCTACATGACCCATTTCCTCCGTCTCCTTCCTCCTACGCCCGCATTACCCCTCTTCTCCATCTCCTTCCTCCTTATTTTTCCCCGGCTCCACCCAACAGTTACAACCATCCTCTGAAATGATTGCATGCAGCTCGCAGAAGGGTTCTCTACTCCAGGATGCCTTCACTAAACGAGCGCTTGGCTGAACCACTTCTCAGAGGGCACCTATCATTCTTCCTGTCACAGAAGGGGTCGTATTTTCATTTTCTAGAGGGCCGATTCCCATCCCATATTGAATATGGCCACCTCCATTCGCCCTTCCTCCTAATGAATGGAATTGGCCCAGTGGAGCAGGATGTTTCCATTTCTTCCACTTATACCGCGTCATAACTGCACACAGCCACGTAGAGAAGCAACGTGAGCTCCGAGGAAAATACTGATTGCTCTGGACGCACCCCCTTTCTTCCTGCTTCAATCGTTGCACCAACGTATTCTATACGGAGAACGAAGTCTTCGGTGTTGGATTTCGTACCTTGCCAAACTTGATTTCTGCAATGCCTGCCAAGTTGAATTTATTACAGTCAGGCATTAATTTGTGCGATCCTTTTCTCCTCTGGTTCTGGAGTCATCGTGAATGGATTGAGATTGGATGGAATCGAAAGTGGCTTATGGATAGATAGGCCTTTAAACGCCAGACATCGAAGAAAAAGAAACCGTCTCGCCGGATCAGAAAAGCTTTATTTTCAGCCGATTTGCTCTCCCTCGGCTCCATCGAATGACCCTTTCACTCTCGTCATCCCATGACAATCGAATCCCTTTGGATGCTGCAGATAAGCATCGTTGCCGGAACGACTGAGAATCCTTTTGAAAGGTACAGTATATTCAGAAAATGCAACCGAGTGAAAAAGAGGGATTGGTTGCTTTCGAAGTTCCTCATAAAGGGAGCCGAGAGCCTAGACAATTACTAGGGAGACAATCCCGGAGCAGGAAGCCTCTTCTATTGTAAAAGTCTAAGACCATGTCCCCATTCCAATGCAAGCGCCTTGAAATAGCTCAGAGGAGAAAGCATTTTCCATCTCATCATATATCATAGTTATAACTGCTTTGCTTGGCATTGGTTTGGGATGCCCTTCAAGAATTGTTCTGGGAGATGGCAACTGGTCTGCTGTGAGGTTTCTCACGGGAAGCCGGGAAAACCCACTCAACTCATTCATATATCGTCTGTGAGAGACACTGTACAACTCCTTTGTGAGAGTTTCCCATTGTGACTGTTCATGGGCCCGTTATTGCATTCCCTGTTTTACGCATCGAGAAAGAATTTCAAGGATGTCAGATTATGTATGCTCCATTTTCTTGGCTGCTTTCAGGGCACTCGATGCGGAACAGACGGCGATGAGGAGTCCGATTTTGCGAAAGCTAAAGGACATTAAAGGACATTTAAACACCCGCGATAGACCATCGGCAGATAAAAGAAACAGACCCAGTTGCCATGGCAACATCAGGGAATCTACATAACAGTGTTTTCCTTGACTATCATCTCTGGATAGATGCAATTGATTGACAACTTACGTTTTATCTTGTTACAGTTTGATTCGGCTTCCATTTCCATACAAAATTGTCCAAGCTTCTGATTTCAAGGCTCGGTAATCTCGCATTTGGGAGCGACTGGAATTGATTTCCACCTCGGTTTTCTTCAAGGCCGATGGATGGGAGGAACCGAATTCATTGAAGACCAAATCAAGAAAATTTAATGTAAAATTTCAGACCAAGTTCATGACGAATTTGCCATATTTCTATGCCGTGATGAAAATTCGCTTCCGAATTTCTGCTGCTTCCGAATGGATTCGATGAAATCAGGAGGTTTCTCATGATGCATATATATATATATATATATTATAAGCCTGTCAAACTCATGTCAGGCAGGATTGTCATGTTTTGAAGAGAAATCGGTCTTTCAAAGGCGGCACATTATTGCATTTCCCCCTTCTTGTTTGACACGTCAGCTGCTGTTCATGCGAGATATTTTCACGGTTGTTCCCTCGATAAGCCTTTTGTCATGGAAATGGGATCTTGTCCCCGAACAATCCCTTCAAAAAAGGGAGTGCACGTGGGATTGCGGAAATATCCCTGATTTGCCTCACAAAGAGTCTAAAAAAGGAGGAAAAAAGGAAGGAAACTCATTATCTCCTGTTCGCAGTCCGTCTCTTTAATTACGAGCCTAGGCTCAAGCCAGTCGGCAAGTCTTTTTCTGTATGTTCAGGGAAGCTTCAGAGGCTCATCATGAGATTTTTAGAGATTTTTATTTATTTATTTGGAAAAAGGAGAAGTAATTCGCTTTTAATGGGAATAGCGTTTAACCTAGCAGAAACGGCTCGATCGCCAACAGACGATATTACCTGCTTTCCCTACCTCCAAAAGATGAAGTGCGCTTTTGTTTTTGATAAATTTTCACGAAAGGTAATCCATTCTAATTCTTGTTCACAAGTACCAGATGTTGGCAGATATTTTATTAATACGAGCCTCTATTTTTCTAGTACCGTCGAATCGCAAACAGGCCGAAGGATATGCCTTCTTCCCTTCTAAAAGTGTTTCATCGACCTCTGTAATTAAAAGAAAAATCCAGTGGAATTCTAAAAAATTAATAGCTCTGTGAAGCAATAACTAATTATTTGAAATTAATCTGCACAGTTCTACTTTATATTAGTGATTCTAAACCTTTTATAAGCCACAACCCTGACGAGTTCGATTACATCCCGATATTTATACAACGCGTAAATTCAGGAATGGTTAAAAATGATCCAATCGTGTGATTCTAAAACGAACTATTCAGAGAAGAAATATATGGACGCGCACAAGAGAAACCCATGCGCGAAGAAATCTCTCCTTAAACTTATTTTTTCACGTTTAAATCGGAAACCTTGAGGCACTGAATTTCTCACAAATTCGATCCCAGCTCCTAATGCAAACCTCCATTAACTCCATTAACCCGACTGTGAGATCGATTGAAGGGATATCTACCCGAGATAATCCCAATCCGGAAGAAAACCGAATCGCAGAAGCGGACACCATAAGTTGAATTGAAAGGACGCGACACCTGTCTGAAAACCGCTCAAGTAGGTTTTCCTTCCGCTCTGAGGTTGCCATCGACTCGGTTCGAGCCCCGATTCCCTCTCGAACTTCGGTATTGGAGTTCGACACTGGTCTCTCCGAGACCCCACGAAGGAATATGGTGAGGCGAATGTAAGGGAATAAAATTCCAGACTTTGAGATTCCGGTCTCGATATTCGCATCGGGGGAAGCCAGCGTTGCAATTTCCTTGTCGCGCTTGTTTTTTTTTTTTTTGCTCGTCGTTTCCTGGGATTATTTGCTCGCAAGCTGTCTCCCTCGTTGCTTTTCCGTTGGCTCATCTGGATTCTGAGGGTGATCTTTTCGCAGGACGTGTAATCTCATTTATTTAATCTCATCTAATCTCGTTTCAGTTTACACCTGACTTGGATTTGGCGCTTCTGATTCGTCTCTGTTTACCTTCCTTCGTATCATCTTTCTTCATTACTCTTGAGCTACTTGTTTCTTTGATCCTCAGAAGTCGTCATGACCTTATAAGGTCACGATGATCCGTCGGTTGAGAATCACTACTTTAAACCGTCCTACATTGGTCTGTTTGGAGTAATGTAGGACTGAATCGGTTCATCTCTAGGTATCGCTCAGTGCAAAACATTTTCTCGTGGCTTTTATTTCCAGAATGCCTTCAAATGATCATACGAGGAGTTCATATGAATGACTTTCAGATTTCATGCCAGGGTGCATGAGTGCTTCAACGACTCACCTCGTCTCAGTACCTCGTTTAAGTACCAGTCTCGACAGCACCTTGCCTCCCCTCGTAGTCCTCGGGCTTCCTGCATTGTCGTTGCTGATTGCTTTGTACGCACTCCGCACAGGTCGCTTTCGTTTGCCGAACACGTGGATTGTGCAGGTTCGATCGTCAATATCCGGCTTTGATTACTTTTCTCTGAAGTCTTGCGGGTCTTCGACTCATTGACAGTCTCCCGGAAGATCCGCTGTTCGGAGAATCCGGGACAAGGTCGGGAGTCGCATGCATTCGATGCAGCACGATGAAAGAAGGCTTTCTGAGACGAAGGGAGAGTAGCTGCCGGAAAGGTGAAAGGGTTCAGGAAACGAGGGGGAGGGGGGGAACCGTGCATCTGGGCTTCGTCTCTCTGGGAGGAAGTAAGCCTGTGGGTAGCGGCTCCATTTGCACTCGGCGAAATATACTGTATTACATCTAGCTCCTCTCCCATATACACCATACGACTCATGCTACCCCCATGCTACTCTAATCTATACCGTATTCTCCCCTCTGTTCACCATGCTACTTCTTGCTACCCATTGCTACTATCCTCTGTATTTTATTTTACCGTGTCTGCACCATGCTACTTCATGCTACCAACTGCTACTCTCCCAAGTCCTCTTCTCACGGGTCTGCCCCACACTACTCCCTGCTATACTCTGCTACTTTCCTCTGAATCCTCTCTTCAAGCGTTTGCACCATGCTATTCCATGCTATTCGTTGTCATCTCCTGACTTTGCCATACCGTTCCATGCTAACGCTTGGTACACTCTTCTGGATCTTATTTCGTCGTGTCTGCACCATGCTGCTCCATATATCCATTGCTACTAAATAATTCACGCCCTAGGGGCATGTCATGCCCCCTATATCGACCCGGTGATGATAAAAAGCAAAAAATATCTCTTGAAACAGACACGAACCACTGAGCATTCGTCTGATCCACTTGGTGCGCTGACCATGTCGAACCTTTGCCTTCTACTTGCTTTTTTTCTGGTTTTCACATTTTTAGAGCGTCCTCCAGTGACGACTTCTTAAAATACTGTCTTGAACAAGCGAAACGGGAAGTTGATCCATTCTTGAAGGTGTTGAGTTGTGAAAAATGTGTTTCCAACATCGATTCCTTCTTCGTCTATGATGTTCTCATGTGGCGTCCCAGAGAATCACTAAACTGTCCAGTATGTAGTCGGCCTGTTGTTCATCAGACTGCATGGACTGGGGAGACTACAAGACACAGAATCAGATCGTTTTATGGATTGGATTCCACTTTGAAACACGATTGGATTCCACTTCATTTCATTGTTGAATGTTGAAGTTACCCGTCGAAGTTATTGAGCAAATTGGTTGTTGTTGTTGTTTCATCGTTTTCATTCTATTTCATTTCATTGGCAAATTTTGAAGTTATGGAGTGAAGCGGGAACCGATGCAAAGTGATAAAAGAGGAGCAAAGGATAGGTCCGGAGCAGACCGACGAAAATAGCGTACTGAGATATTTCAGAAGGTAGAATGCAACAGTAAGGAATACGGACCGGAGAGTAAGGCAGAGAGGACAGTAGCATTGAGTAAACTGGAAGAAAAGATTATGCAAGTGACAACCGCGAGGTAGCATGGAGAAGCATGGTCGAGTCGGGAGAGGTGAGAGCTGAAAGGAGGATAGCAGTGAGTAGCATGGTGCAGACACGGTAGAAGGTACAGAGGAGAGTAGCAATGGATAGCATGGAGTAGCATGGTGCAGACACAGTAGAATACGATATAGAAGATAGTAGCAATGAGTAGTATAGAGTAGCATGGTGCAGAGAGGGGAGAATACGGTATAGATTAGAATAGCATGGGGTAGCATGAGTCGTATGGTGCATACCATAGATCGTCAATGGTGTATGCAGAGGAGAGGAGTTACATGTGACAAATTTCGCCGAAAGCAAATGGAGCCTCTACCGCCTCGTGAGCTTCGCTTGCGCCCGGTTTACAGTGAAAATTAAGTATAAGGAATATGCTGTAAGTCGTCATCGTTCACTCGGTATTTGCGATCAGTTGATAGGGAACGTCCTATTGAACCTAAATGAGCAAAAAGATGAATCGTGAATATTTCTTCGCGTCTCCAGAACGTGAGAATCGCTCTTAACGCCTTCTTTTAAATTGCCTGCATATCATGATCTCTGTCGGAAGTGTGGATACCCTTAATCAAATGGAGTTGGGGTGCAATTTAATACGATTTATCTGAATTGTCCTAATAATACTACCAGCAGAAAAATTTCTGTGAATCTGTTTGATGACATCCCTCACTGCAAAATAATGAAGGCGCTGCAAAACTGTTATATTTAATTTCAGCGGAAGTGTCCCACTGTGGCACTGAGGACGCTCCTTTGATAAATACGTCAGAAAGGTTAGTATTTCTTACAGCTTACATTCTGCATGATGTGACAAGGAATGTCTTCCACCTCTTGATCTGATCTAATCTAGGCCTAATCTAACTAGAGTCATGGTTGAAAAATCCTATTGAAAGAAAATAACGAATTACATTTCAATACTTTAGTTTATTTTGTAATAGCTTGGAAAAAAAAATTGACGGCTATTGGAAAAGCTTTGAGCACGGTAGTTTGGGTCTGCCCCAGTCTTATCCCACGACCAACTCTCCTTCTGCTCTCCAAACCACCCATTTTGTAAATGATATACGGGGTGGTTATAAAGTCCTGTGGGGTGTTTACAGTGCCGTAGTGACCGAAGTAGATGGAGTTGGGTCGCCTAACCAGCACGGTGCACAGATAATAACGTGGGAAGGCCTTTCGCTTCAAACAAGTCGCGATGACACCACTATCATCCCAGGTGGCACCACCATTACCCGCTGCACAATATAAATCCCGGCCATCTGGCCTGGACAGCAATCCGAAGAGAGCAGGAAAATGATGGTCAAATGGCTAGCCTCGCCAAGCATTCGTTATCTAAACGGATGCAAATCTGAGCCAGCTCTTCGTGCATATCGGACCGAGACAGGTGTCCTTCGTGGGCCCTGTACAATCCAGAGATCCGAGCGATGGTGCTGCCACCTGGGATGATAGTAGCTCCATCTCGACATTTGTGATGCAAATGGCCTTCCCATATCTGTGCACCCTACAAGTTAGGCGATCTAACTCCATCTACTTTGATCACTACGACACTGCAAATGCCTCACAGGACTTTATAACCACCCTGTATTTTTGTAGAGATTCGCGAGAACTAATCCGACAAAAAAAAGCAATCTAGGATATGGTCTGGGTTTATTATCCCGACGCGCAAAAAGTTTAGACAAGACAAAGAAACATCTACTTTCACTTTTTGTTTTCCCTCACGCTGCGCTATAATCCAAGTGAGATGTAACCAGTGATACAACGGCTCTGCTCCATTTTCCTGCTGGTACATCTTGCTTAAAGCAAGAAAATGTCATGTCCCATCATACCCCAGCCATACACGGACGCAATCCCTGTGGCAGTAGTCCTCGCTGCACCTTACCGCAGATGCACGAACGCTGACGCCAGGTTAATTTGCAAGCGTGCCGTCTTTGCATGAAAGTGTAAGGTAGAAGGAAGAGTGGGGGGGGAGGGGGAGGAAGAACTCAGAGAAAGATTTCTTGGTTCATTTTCTTTCTTCGTCTTCCTCGCGTGAAGAGGCATAGACCGGCTGAAGCCTTTAAAGAGCTGGATGGCGTGACATGTATCGTGTGCATCAGACGGGTCCATTTAATCGTAGGAAGGGACTCGAGCAGCGTATTCGATTTAAGAAAAGGTCTGATACCGTCTCAGCGTTTGCTTCTTCATCTATGTCCGCCGGAACGAGCCAGGGTCTCAGGTGAGCCCAACGCGCAGCAACCTGCGATGGCGAGGTAGCGACGAAGCACAATATCGAATGCGCTAACTGATCAGACTGTGGTCGCTTGGATGCGGGGATTCAACTGAAGCTTCGATGGGATCATCATGAAATTCGTACGCGTGAATATGCGATATCCTTGCATTAGCGATAGAGGGCTCTGCCAGGTAGAATGATTTACCATTTAACAACGTTAGTGTTTTAAAATGTCAAAGATAAAAGCTTCGTTCTCCTCTCCTTGCGTCCCAGTACAAGAAACATCAGCACTAGCAGCAAATTTTTTAATGGAGTTGTTGAATCGATGGGGGAGAAAATATGGAAAAACTTGACCCCTATACTTTAGGCAACACGCAGAAAATGTCAACCTGGTGTAATTAAAAAATTCTTATGAGTTAAGTGAACGTAGCTTTCAATGTTGGTAAATATAGTGGTAGCCACGAGTGGTGAAACTATTTTAAATCGCTGCAATTACCAAGAAGGAAGAAACGACGGCCACAGCATGTTTTGTGCCACGCAGTATTGAAGCGTGAGCTTCCCTATTTCCAGTTTTATTCCCGAGGTCAGTTAGTGTCTCTCTTTGGGCCAGGAGAGAGTCCTCGAATCATTTGGACGTGTTCCAGCAAAAAAAGAAGCGTGAGGTGTCTCGAGAGAGGACAATCAAAATCATATTCGAAGAAAGGGAAGTCCTTCGGACGACAGGTGGCAGGAAAACGGGATTTATCAATTCCAAGTGGCTACCGAGGGGAAGAGCCACGAAGGCGAAACTGCGTTCTTTCCTCGGATGGTCGCAATATATACAGCGTACTCTATTATCTCTTTTTTTCTTTGTTTTGTACTGCGTACTAGAGAGGGGCGCAAAATTCTAACTCCCACATAATCCACGTCGTCCAGGGAGTGCGGTAGTGGCGGGAACCAATGCCATGGGAACGGAGAGAATGGGAATGAGGCACAGCGACTCGAACGTGCATGGCACTCGAAAACGACCGAGAATGTCTCTCGCTCCCGTTTTTTTTTTCTCTCTTTTCTTCTGTCTCTCTCAGAACCCCTTCTAGTTCGGCTCCGGGCGCATCGAGAGGCGCAGAACTCCACGCCTGCCAGAAAGTGTCGAGCGATTGTTATTGTGACGGATGAGGATGGCATCGGGAGGATCGGCTGAATGTCCCTGGTTCGGTGGTGTGGTGGTAGCACACCCGAACGGCAATCAGGAGGCCCGGGTTCAATTCGCGGCCGTTCGCTGGCTTCTTTCGTCCTCTCATGCCTTCCGTCTACACTTTCCCTCCGTAGCATTATTTTGCATTCTTTACACTGGGGATTTCACGATGGAATTAGTTTCTTCTCGGTTTCTTTGCCCTTCCTTTATTGCCGTCTCGTGAAATTTAATTTTCAGAAGACAGCTCTCTGCAGTGCAAGATTTTTCTTTAAGGTGGGACGTACTTGGAATAGGAGTGGTACGGGACTGGAATCCACGGAAATTGAATGGAATGGGAATACCTCATTCGTCACGAGAGCAGAAATGAGAGTGGAAACGAGAGACAGTCCGGAACCGGGAGCGAGATGGAAATTGAAGGCCGTGCGGACGCTGCCGGATGGGAAAGGGAAAAAGGACCGAAGTGCCCCTCTCTGCTGTGTACCCACTTACCCTGGGGTTTACTCCTATGCACTTAAAAGTTGATAACTAATTTTTGGCATGGGATATACCTCTCCCTCTCTCGAGCCGGATCTAACGTCAATACGAGCAGGAACGAGGCGATCTACGAAGTCGACAGAAAGTAAGCAAAAAGTCTCGAGGAGTGAAGGATGTTAGCTGGAGGCTTGGAAGCCGCCTCGCAACGGCGTCGGCGCGATGCATTCGCTCTGCGTGCCGTATCATCTTCAGGTTATTGCTAATATCTGCTAATAGCTACAATTGGCAGTAATGCGTTTCTCGGTGCTATCGGCTCATGATGTGGACCAAAGAAATACTTCTGTCATTATGAACTTTAACGATAGCGCGTCAGCGATAGCTCGACTTGCATAGTTTGAACGGAACAGGTGACCGTCGAAGAACAGCAGCGTCATTCGTGCATTCGTAAATGAAGCAGTATTTACCTGTGCTTTGTTATGGCGACATCACTTAGTCGTAATTATGTCGTCATTCGTTCGCCAGCTGCAATGACCGTCTTAACATCTGATATCGTGATGCTGATGCACGATATGTTGCGAACATTATGATCCCACAATAATAGTGTGCACAGGTCAATAGGCGTAGGCTGCAGTAATTGCCTCGTTTTTTTTTTCATCGTGTGTTCGGGCACTTGTTTGCTCGGCCTTTCCAGCGAGTTCCGCCGAGAGGTGTCGTCACTGTTTCTTTAGCGAGGTATACCGTATGATAAGTATGGATGATTCCAATTCGTATCGAGTCTCATTCGGCAGGCATCTCGTTTGTGCACGACGAAGATTTCGCGTTTTCAGCCGGGAATTCTAAATCCCCACGAAAAACATGGAACGATGAACTTTGAATTCGAAAGCGGATGTCCTGCGTTCACTAGAGACGCAATTATTTCCAATAAAGGTGCAATGGTCTCTGTAATACGAGCCCTGGACATCGGCATGGTGCCCCTTCCCGTAGAGATGCTTTATTTGAGTGCCCATGAAGCCTTATCAAGCTCTATGAAGCCATCAAGCCCTCTTCTCGTTATAGGCCATTAAAATCACCAATTAAGCGCTCTGCAGTTCTAATGCCACGCCAGACATAGTTGCTGATAGCATACCATCATGAACTAAAAACCCAGGAACAGTGGCGTAGCCCGAATTTCGTCAAAGGGCGCTAGTAACTTATCCTCGGGCGGAGGGGGAGGGGATGGCAGACTCATTTGAACCAGATTGGGGGAGCTAGAACCAAACTTTGGGGGGGCTTCCGCCCCCCTACCCCTTGCTACGCCACTGCCCAGGAGTAAAGGAGATTCCCCGTGCCACCACAGGGAAGGAGTGAATTTGACCCAGAATTTGACAGACGCCACGTCTGTCGAGGCTTTGTGTGAGCTCCATGGCCATCATCGCATGCTGTTTGTGCATCCTGTGTTTCGGGCCTGCACACGAGGGGTTAGCTTTGTCCTTTCGGATCGAGATGTTTTTTGTTTTTCGCAAACACGAACGGTGAACTATTGATGGATTCCATCCGCCTTGGGGCGGCAGCCACGGCGAAGAGGGAAGCAGCCGACACGACTCTGCGTTACTCTGACATTTTAAGGAGCGCTGAGTGCTGCCGAGCGTCGATGAAGTCACGCAACTCGACGAACCTGCCTTTGTCTTCGGTCGCTGGCAGCTGATGAGTGAAGAAAGGCCCCTATCGACTCGAAGAGCTTCATTTGCTCAGTGGCAGTCAGATGCTGAGAAAAACACGGTCGTTGTCGAGCCGCGCGACGACATCGATCGTGTCACCGTCGCCAGCCGATCCCGGCAAAATCCAACCCTCTTGAAAAAGCTTAAAATCGCCGATTTTTTGTGGTTGCTTCCTGTCGCTATGACCACCTCCCGGCAGAGCTTAGAGCATAAAAAAAAACTCCATCTTCTCGCCTCTGGGAGAATTTCACCGAGAACTGGGAGAGATTCAGCATTTCAGCCTCGAGCCAAATAATAATCTGTCGGTTTCCCCTGCAGAATCATGAAAAATCATCTTCTAGGAAAAGGCTGAGTGAAAAGAACATGACCTACGGGAATTCCCCCCCCAAAAGGCAGTTATCTATATACGATATACACGGGGCCCATGAATGAATCCACGAATCCAGACGCTCGCATGCATATCATAGCTGCAACCATGGCAACTGCGAAAATAATTCCATCCCGATCTCTCCTTTTATTTTTCCTCGGCCCGAAGCAATCATGCATTAATAACTACCCACAAGGAGATGCATCGGATCTAGTCGGCTCATGTACGCAGAGAAAGATTTCTTTCTTATTACCATGTCAATAATTCATCTTCTGTTAGCCTTCTTGAATACCAGTGACGTCATTTTTCATTTCCAATTCCATATCTTATTTATGTATCGGCATCGAACTGGAAGTTTCTCTCAGACACACAGGAAAATAATGAGTTCGACACGCGCTTTGATGCCTCATCTCTGAAAATTATTTCCAATCCCTCGCCCAGGAGCAAAACAAAAAACCAAAGGTGACTCCTGGCACTCGAACAGTGATTAAAAGTTGCCGTTGCGACGAGGAAGTCGCAGAAAATAAAGATATGAAGAAAATGAAGTGGGAATTATTCTGTTCTGGCAGATGTCCCGTACTGCGTGACGACCCGACCGATCCCGGTCTGGCTGAGCCTGGGACAGGCGGTGAATCTGACCTGCGACGTGGAGTCCGAGCCCGAGGTCCAGAGGTTCAACTGGACGTTCCGACAGCGACGCACGGAGGAATACGTCAGGGTCCCGTCCGACCAGGTCCGGCAGTTCAAGAATCGCAGCGTCTTGGAGTTCCTCGTCAGGAACGAGGAGGACTTCGGGATCCTCCACTGCCGGGCCGTCAACGAGGTCGGGGAGCAGCAGGGTCCCTGCCTCTTCGACATCGGTCATGCCGGCAAGTTGTCTCTCGTCTCGGCTCTTCCGGATGGACAGAAAGAAAACGACCGAAAAAAAGAGATAGAAGGGGAGATGCCATGGGAGGCTTTGTAGTTCATTTCGCTTGCAGTTCGTGTCCAGCCCAAGAAAGATCCTCCTCGGATTTCCCTTTCCCTTTCCCTCCTCAGGAAAAAATAAAAGAGAAGGAGGTCTCTCTCTCTCTCTCTATCTATCTCTCCCTCTTCTTTTATATTTAGAGGCACCCGAGCCCTTATTGAATTGCTCGGTGACGGACGAGGAGAATGGGTCAGTTGCGGTGTCCTGCAAACCGGGCCTCAGCCTCGGTCTGCCCCAGACCTTCCACTTCGCACTCCGGCATCAAGGTCGGGAGAATATTCAATTCTCTTTTTTTTTATCACTCGATTCTATTTCATTTCCTTTCCTCCCTCTCGCATTCCCCCTCGGTAATAATATCTCCGACGCCTTTACATCCTTTCTCTTGGAGCCCTTCCAGCCCCATCTGAATAACCTCACTTGTATCGATTTTGGTCGTCCTGCACGGGCGATAGTATGTACACACCGGTTTTTTTGGCTCCTTGCCCTCGGCCCGCACTCCATCCGCCGCGTTGCTTCTCCGAGCGGGGTCCGTGTTCGTGGCTGACTGCCGAGACGAGGGGAAGATTCGTTTCTCGAAAGAACCGAAATTCGGCGTGCGATCGAAGGTTCCTCTGTATCGAATTGATGAGCTTCCCGAAATTATTCGCTCCGTGTGACCGCGTGCCCCCATTCCCGAAATATCGTCATGAAAGATTCACGAGCCTCACTGCGACGGGAACTCGATACGCCGCAGGGGGGGTTCCGCCTTCGCCTCGTCGTTCGATGTCGCAGAGGCGATCGGGTGTCGCCGCCATTGATGAACCTTTATTCTTTGATATATGAGCTCCGGCATTGAATGACCCGTATTCTCTGATTAAAGGTTCACGGTTGGTTCGAATCATCCGCGACGAAACTGCTTTCCTCGTGGTATATGTGTACCGCTCGAACGGGAAGCCTCGGACCGCAATCGGCCCCCGCGGTTGAGTCCGGTGAAGATTCTCGCAGCTAATCTGCAAATTTCATGCTAATGTTGCAATTTACCAAAAAGTTTTTCGAAATATCAGCGCTGTTTGGGTTTGAATTCAAATCGAATCGCAGAATTGAAGCAGTCTGCAGAATTGTGTATAACATTCTGAGAGCTTCATGAACGTGGGCAAGAACGTGAAAATTTCATCGTTCGTCGCCCACGTGTCTGCTTGGCAGATATCTCTTTTGCATGAGCACTGCTTTCAAGTTTTAAGTGCTTGTCGTTCTCGGGATACACGAGTTTTCCATTGCTCGATAGCGTCCAAAGGGGGAGGGGGGCATTTGGCCGCCGCTTTACGCTAATGGAATACGGGATGAAGGGGGTTAGAAGGCGGGAACTCAATGATGATGACGATAGCATGTCTTCACCGGAGGAAGACTTGCCATTACGCCGTTCCTCGTTCTCAGGGGAACCCCCTACTTTAACGTAATGGCTCGTGTGACACTTCGGCCGCGGGGATTCTCGATTAATTGTCGCGGTCGCGGATCGATGGCCTTCGTGGGGCGACGGGTCCGCCGAGGCGGTCCGATGGACCATTACGTACAGCTAACAGTTGCCCATTTATGTGTCAAGTGAAATGTGTTTCCTCCCTCTCTTATTTGTCTGTTTGAGAGCTTTATGAATAGTTGAACGCCAATTATGCTCGCGTGTGGGAAAAGCTTCTTTGTGTCGAGAGAATATGTTGAGGAGGCTTTCTGTCTCCGGAGGTTTCTAGAAATTATTAGACGCATGAACACGGGAAAAGGAACTGCTATTTGGTAGCGGCTACCTGTTGTATAGAGGTGCTAAAATAGCGTGAATATTCCTCAAACATGCCAGAATTGTAATGATTTTTTTTTGCAAGTTCCTTTTGTTCTGTAATAATTTCATACTGAAAAAAAATGTATGCAGGGGAAGAAGTGAAGAATCAGTCGGGACGCGAGCCGACCTTTCGATTGTCCGGACTGCAGCCTGGGACGAAGTACGAGGGGATTGCATGGGCCGAGAACGAGAAAGGAGCCAGCGAAGCGACGCAGCTTCTCATTTCTACCTCCTTCCCGGTGGAGCCGAACACCGCCCCTGCTCACTCGCCGTCGTCCAAGTCTCGTGAGTGCTCTGGGGGGCGTTCATAAGTGGCTGTGGCAGTTTTTCGTCGGGGTCTTCGTGCGAGATGACCATCTCGAGAATGAATTCTTGTCATCGTGACACGCGTGTCACGGATGAACTACATTATGTGTACTTCCTCTTAGCAGCAAGGTTTCCTATCTGTTGCAGTCCAGTACTTTCGGAGATTTGGAGTTACATGATTTGAGATCTTGTTCTTCTGGCGACTTAACATACAGTCCGACCTGTAACAAAGAATGTCAAAATTTTCGGTACCTGTGGACCCAACGCAAGTTCACCTTTGGGGATTTAAAAAAAAAATTTCTCACTGAGATTAAGAAAGTACTTGATATTCTGAGAAGCGAGAGTCTTGAGAAGTAGCTTTTTCTCTAAATGAATCAGACCAAATAAGAGCATACATTTAAGAGAAGGCTCTTCACAAAATAAACCTACTGCAATCAGAAAGTTCAGAGGTACAGGCGGATATTTCAGCTAGGTTCAATTGAAGACGTCCTTTCTAATCGTCCGTCCTTCATGATAATTTTTTTTAAAGAGCTGTTTATTGTTCGATGATATATCGAAAGACGACTCATGTTTTTTTTTCGATTTGCAAGGAGAGTAGAAAGGATGCTCCCATGTAATTACAAGTCAATTTGTCTTACCAACGTAATTACCTCGAAACTCGATAAACCTAGTGATATTTCACCCGGTTCCTCAAGTACCAAGGCTCGATGCTACTCAGGGGTACTACATGGCTTCGGAACAGCATGTCTTTTTCAATTTACTCAGTGTAGTTCGACTATTTGCTTAGAGTGGTCGTCAAAATTAACGTACTAGGGTTTTCTCGAAAGATAGGGAACCTACGCGGCTCAAACGTTTTGCATAGGACAGCTGCCCATGAGTGCTGATCCGTCTAAAAGAAATGGGTGACTAGTTCGTTACATCCCAGTTACGTAACTGTTTTTCATCGGCGTGAGGAAAAATGCTACTTTCGATGAAGAATCGTTACGAGATAGATTTCATATCGCTCGTCCCTTGCGTCCGAAGCTCTCTTCTGCGCCATCACAAAGTACAAAAAGATCTCAAAGCCAGCGAAGGCCGGTTGGCTTAAAATATATCGAGAAACGGGAATGGTGTAGGGAAAAGAGTGATCGCTCGGACTGTCAAACACCTGGGTAAGGTGCATGCTTGGGGCTGCCTCTATGTTGGAGGGATTAGGAACGTCTGCACTTTCACCTAGAATCTGTATGCGCATCTGCTGAAGACCATTTATGAGCGTGCCCTCTTGCCTTCTGCAGCTACTATGTTTCCCGATTCAACGAAGACTTGGGTGCTGCAGGATGACAATGATCCAAAGCACACCTCAAAGCAGGCGACCAACCGGAGGGTTGAGAATGGGGTGTTCCGCTTGGACTGGCCGTCGCAGTCTCCCGACCTCAACCCCATAGAGAATTTGTGGGGTCTCCTGAAGGTCAAAGTGGCGCATCGGTGCCCCGGAATGATCAAGACTTTAAGAGCAGTAATTAAGGAGGAGAGGGAGAATCTGAGTGAAGAATTCGCCGAAAAATTGGCAGATTCGATGCCGGGCCGATTACGTGCTGTAGTCGAAGTGCAGGGCGATTATACTCTGTATTGAGATCAGGGCTCTGTATGTACTTTCTGTCGACTTAGAAGGTTTTCCTACATCTCTCGTTGAATAAGAGATAACCCTGGTACGTTAATTTTGACGCGTACTGTATATGCTGGGTGAAGTCTGTGGACATTATTTGGTAAAGATTTCCCTTGGATATTTTATGATGCAGTTCCCTATAATCATAAAAAAATTAACTATGGAGCTATCATCCTTGGGGATCGATGGCAAAATCCTGCGATGGATTCATGGTTCATCATCAACTATCGATGCGGTGAAATTTTCAGCGGGAAATATTGGGCATAGTTTATTTACCAGTCATAAATGATCACAGAGCAATTCACCACACTCTCAGGGTTCCAAAATGCATGATATCTACCGAGTATCTACCGAATTTCGCCTGGATTACTTCAGCCATCATGAAAAAATGCCTATTGAAATAATATTAAAATTCTTTTTTTAACGTTTTTCAATTAGCGAGTCTGTGCATCGAAAAAGCCGGGAATTGTGAATTACCGCGCCAGGATGCAAGCATTCGTATTCCCAGATGTAATGAAAGTCATTGCTGGGATGATAGTAATTTCTAAAGAGCAATTTCCTTGAGGCATTCGCATTCATCCGGATGCAAAGAGTGTTCACAAGGGCCTTGGCCTCGAGAGATGCAAGGAACGTCATGAGGTTATTGACGTTATTTAGGAAATTAGGAGGATTTTGAGTCTCCCTGGAGAGATTCGGAATTTTGATGAATCCACGGGCGAAATCGCCTCTTGATATCACTAATTCTCCTGACTCCTGACTCCTGACTCCTTGGAATCTGCACACCCATCGGCAACTCGTCCCTGCCTTTCAATTTTTCGTGGACGCCATCAGGCACCTCAAAGGCTTGCTCGTCTGGGGTGTTCCGGCATCGTACCGTCGATCGTCGAATGTAGAATTTGCGGAATGACGACGGGAACAGGAACGGGACCCAGATCACGAACGAAAGTGGACAGGGCTGAACATCCACGCCCGTATTCCTCGGGGCATCCAGTCGTCTCGTTCCCATCATCGTTTGCGACCGGAGCATGAGATTCCGCGAGACTCTAATGACGTCAGAGGAAGTTCCCCCCCCCCCCCCCCCCCCCCCCCCCCCCCCCGCCCCCCCCGCCCCCACC